GTCACTGACTTCATCGTTTCCCATAATATTTTTGGATTCTTACTGGCTGAAATAATTTGATTTTTAAAATATTGTTGTTGATGGTTGGATGAACGATGGATAGATTGATGGTGGATGATGCATGGATGAGGGGTTGGATGAAGGATGAAAGGATGACTGTTGGATGATGGATGGATGGATGGTGGTTGGATGAGGGTTGGATGAGAAAGACAAACGAGGGATAAAGGAGGTCAGCAGCTCGTGGAGGAGAATATTTAGAGGTAAATCCTCTTTAATGAGGCGATAAGAGGATCGAGTTCAGAGGAGATGGAGGGATGAAAGGATGGATGGAGGGATGAAAGGATGGATGGAGGGATGAAAGGATGGATGGAGGGATGAAAGGATGGATGGAGGGATGAAAGGATGGATGGAGGGATGAAGGAGGAGTGAAGGAGAGCTGCTCCTGTCTGTTTTCATGATGAACCAATGTTTAAATATAAAATAAAGTCAAACATACAGAAACTTGAAGGAGAGTCGCCTCCTGGTGGCCTGAAGAAGAAACTACATTTTTACAAACAAGAAAAACTTCAAAATGTTAGCTAACAAAACAGCTGATAAAACTAGTAAAACATTAGCTAAAACAAGCTAAAAGTAGCTAAAATTTAAACTTAGCCACAGAAAACAGAGCATGAGCTGAAGCAGATCCAGTAAAAACAGACACGTTGTTAAAAACTGTAAGATCTTATAAATTATTCTTGTTTTGGCTGTGCAGGTGTGACCTCTGCTGCCTTTCGTTTCGGACTCACCGAGGATTGTTGCGTCACAACGCGGGGGTCCATAAGCTCCTCCCCCAGGACCCAAACGGACGCCCCTTCATCCAGAACAACCCCTCCATCCCTACTGGCTTCAACGACCTCGCCTTCATCGACTTCTCCTGCAAGAAGTTCGCTCACATCGCTCAGGTAGGCTCACTTCCTGCTTCCTGTTTCCTGCTCCTGCTCCGCCCACTCACCCTCCCTCCTCCTGGTCCAGGTGTGGTGTGAGACCAACCTGCGGCGCTGCATCAGCAAGTTCCACCGCTTTGTCTGTGACTCCTGCGATATGGCCTTCCCCCTGCGGTCTGCGCTGGACCTCCATAAAACCACATCCCACAGCGACGGCCCCGCCCCCTCTGACCCCGCCCCCACCGTCACCGCCACTGAGGAGAACAAACCAAAGGAGAACGGAGAGAACATGGACCAGAACGGAGAGGATGGAACTGAAAACCTGCTGTCAGACCAGGAGGACTTCATGGGAGTCCTGGGTCTGCAGCTCACCTCTAAGGTATGGTTCTGGTCTCAGGTTCTGGTCTCAGGTTCTGACTCCTGTGGTCAGGATCAGCAGGTCTAAAAGAAGCCAGAGCTGGATCAGGACTGAAGGTTTTTGTTTCTGATCCCCAGGTGAAGTCTGGACCCACAGATGACGAGATCCACCAGGCCCACCTGGACAGCATCAAGGTGATCCACGTGGAGCCGCCCAACTCCAGCCTCCCTCAGGAGCCGGCGTCCGCCTACCTGCCCGAAGGTCTGGTTCCGGTCCTGGGGTTTGGGGTGAGCGGTCTGGCGGCTCTGAGCATCCCACTGCTGGACGGCGGCACCCTGCAGGGTCTGTCCCAGCGGGACGCCCTGAACCTGCTGTCCCTGCAGCCGTTCCAGACCAGCTTCCTGCTGCAGCCCGACGGCGCCGCCGCCACGGCCGGCGGGGCCTCGCCCGCCGTCAAACCCGGGGAGGCGAGCGGCGCCGGCGTCATGGAGCTGGCTGACATCCAGCAGATCCTCAAAGTGGCCACGGCAGCGCCCAATCAGATCCCGTCCCTGGTCAAAGCCTCAGGATTCAGCGGAGGTCACGGTGAGTTCTCATTGGTCGGTTTGAAGGGCAGGGTGTCCGCGGGTCCTTAAAAATCCTTAAATTCTTAAAAAGTCTTAAATTCACAAATCTTAAATTAAGACCTAAAAAAGTCTTAAATTTGACTTGGTAAAACCTGCAGAGACCCTGGAAGGTGTGTCAGTCTCAGGTGGGTCACTGATGGTTTCTGCCCCTCCCCCTGCAGGTTCGGTCCAGGGTCAGAAGACCATGCCTCCATTAAAACCTAAACCTCCCGTCAGCCCCCGCTCCAGCCTGACTACGACCACGCCCCCCCCACTGCAGAGCTCCCAGCAGGCCTCACTGGGCTGCATCAGCCCCGGCCTGCCCCCACCCACACTCTTCAAAAACCCCGCCTCCTCTGCAGGGGGCGGGGCTCAGACAGAGGCAGAGGGTTTAGGTGACGCCCTCACACTGCTGTCTGATTCTCCACCTGCTGCCATCACAGCTGTTAAAGAGGAGGCGGGGCTTAGTGGCAGGAGAGCAGGAACCAAGGTGGGGTCGAGCGGCGTGGGCGGGGCGGTGAAGGGCTCCTTCCCCTGCAGGTTCTGTGACCAGGTGTTCCCGTTCTCCGGCCTCCTGCAGGCCCACATGCGCTTCCACCTGGGCATCCTGCCGCACCAGTGCAACATCTGCGACTACGTGGCTCCGGACAAGGCCACGCTCATCCGCCACCTGCGCACGCACAGTGGTGAGCGGCCGTACGTCTGCCGCGTCTGCCACTACCCCTTCACCGTCAAGGCCAACTGCGAGCGCCACCTGCGCAAGAAGCACGCCAAGACGTCCAGGAAGGACATCGAGAAGAACATCAAGTACGTCACCTCCAGCGCCACCGCCAGCATCACCGCTGCCCCCGACACGGAGACGGGCTGCCCCGGCGCCGACACCACCTGCCGCTTCTGCGGCGAGGACCTGAAGACGTACCGCGCGCTGCAGATCCACCTGCGCACGCACAACGGCTGCCAGAGGAAGCCCTTCGAGTGCCGGCGCTGCGGCGCCGCCTTCCTGGCCAAACGCAACTGCATCCATCACCTGCTGAAGCAGCACCCCGAGGTCCAGGAGCGCGAGATCGAGGACCACATCGCCACGCTGCTGCCCGCCGCCACCGTGGCGGCCGCCCGCCCCGCCGCCGTGACGCCCGTGGCTCTGAACGGGATCAGCCCGCAGGTCCAAGTCCTGCCGGCGCTGAAGGTGGAGGACCTGGTCTATCCCGAGGACCCGGACCAGCCTCTCGACTTCTCCGCTAAAGGTCGAGGAGCAGGAGGCGTCCAGGTGGCTCCGCCCATCATCAAGACGGAGAGCTCCTCCCCCGGCTACGACTGCTCCTCCCTGGACCAGCCCATCGACCTGTCCATCCCCAGCAAGCGGCTGCGGAAGGAGGCGGCGAGCGGCGGGGAGGACGGCCCCGCCCCCGAGCACGCCCAGTCTAAGGACAGCGAGAAGCCGGCGAGCGTCCTCCCCCTGCAGCCCCACCCCCAGCTGGGCTGCTACCAGCTTCCTCRTGGATCCACCCCTCCCCCCGCCACCACCCGAGCCCCCCGCCTTAAACCGCTGCTGCCCAAACCCGCCGCCGCCACCTCCTCCCTGCCGCTGAAGGAGCTGGCTCCTCTGGCGTCCATCGCTCAGATCATCAGCTCCGTGTCCACCGCTCAGAGTCTGCTGGAGGGAAAACCTCCACCCGCCTCCCAGCTGGACACTGACCCCGCCCCCGTCCTGGACGCCGCAGGGGACGACGCGTCTGACGGCTCCTCCAGGTATGTGACACCATTTCCTGTTTCAGAGCAAAGTGTGAACACCTGTCACAGCTGATGCTCCGCCTCCTCGCAGACGGAGGTCCCGGAAGAAACCCGCAGCTGTCGCAGCAAAGGAGAAGGTCATCAGCGCCGCCGCCATCGATCTGGAGTCCAGCGGGGAGTTCGCCAGCGTGGAGAAGATGCTCGCCACCACCGACACCAACAAGTTCAGCACCTACCTGCAGACCGGCGCCGACATGGCGGCAAAGAGAGGTGAGACTCAACAGGAAGTGTAGGAGGAACCAGACCGTCAGTCGCAGGTTAAATCTGACTCCTCCCCCTCTACAGATGTGGAGAAAACAGCTGGACCAGGAGAGGAGAAGGAGGGGCGAGCGAAGGAGGAGACCAAACCAGCCGCCGCCGTGTCGGCCATGACGGTTTCTCAGCCCAAAGGAAAGAAAAACGCCTACTCCAACTCTGTCCAGAAGATGACGTGTCCGTTCTGTCCTCGAGTCTTCCCCTGGATGAGCTCGCTGCAGCGACACATGCTGACCCACACAGGTACCAAACCTGCTGAGTCATGGTGCCTGTTTTACAACCTGCTGAGTCATGGTGCTTGTTTAAAAATTGGCTGAGTCATGGTGTTGTAAACCTGCTGAGTCATGGCATTTGATGAAAATGTGCTGAGTCATGGTATTTATTTTACAATCTGCTGAGTCATGGTGTTCCTTTTACAACCTGCTGAGTCATGGTGCCTGTTTTACAACCTGCTGAGTCAAGGTGTTRGTTTTACAACCTGCTGAGTCATGGTGRTTGTTTAAAAATCGGCTGAGTCATGGTGTTTTAAACCTGCTGAGTCATGGCATTTGTTTTAAAATGTGCTGAGTCATGGTATTTATTTTACAATCTGCTGAGTCATGGTGTTCGTTTTACAACCTGCTGAGTCATGGTGCTTGTTTAAAAATCYGCCGAGTCATGGCATTCGTTTTAAAATGTGCTCAGTCATGGCATTAATTTTACAACCTGCTGAGTCATGTTTGTTTTACAACCAGCTGAGTCATGGTGTTTGTTTTACAACCAGCTGAGTCATGGCATTTGTTTTTCAACCTGCTGTCATGGTGCTTGCTTTATAACCTGCTGAGTCATGGTATTGTATCTGTTTAAAAATCTGCAGAGTCATGGTGTTTGTTTTAAAATATGCTGAGTCATGGTATCTGTTTTCCAACCTGCTGAGTCATGATGTTTAAAAACCTGCTGAGTCATGATTCATGGTGTCTTAAGTCTTGGTCTGCTGAATCATGGCATTTGTTTTAAAACTTGCTGAGTCATGGGGTTTAATTTTAAAAACTCCTGAGTCWTGGTATTCAACCTCTTAAAATGTGCTGAGTCATGAAACAACTAATCGTTCTGGTTTCTCTTCAGGTCAGAAACCGTTCCCGTGTCCGCGCTGCGACGCCTTCTTCTCCACTAAGTCCAACTGTGAGCGCCACCTGCTGCGCAAACATGGCGTCACGCACAGATCGCTGCGACGCAACGGRGCCATCGTCAAGAAGGAAGGAGACGAGGGCTCGCACGAGAGCGCCGGTCAGAACCGCTGCGGTTTTATACAAACATTAACCGTCAYTCATAGATTATCTACAGCAGTCTGTGATGGGATGTTTCCTGTTTTCAGTTCAGACGGATGTAAAAACTGCTGAGTCAGGTTTTCCTACCTGTGGATCAGAATTTGTTCTTATTGGTCYTATTCTGCTGTTTTTGTTACAGAGAGCCAATCAGAGACAGAGCAGGGTGTTCCAGATAAACCGGACCTCAGCACCACCGTGGCCACAGATGTAGGCCCCGCCCCCGACATTAACCCCGCCCTTCAAGAAAACGCACAGCCAAGCCCTGCCCTCAAACCGTGCCCAGGTCAGCCAATAGAAACGTGTACAATGAAAGACTTCCTGTCTGAGCTTCGGTTCAGGTTCTGATTGGTTTGTTTGAAACCTGGTGCTGACGGTTCTGGACTGGGTCGGTTTCTGCTGCAGGTTCCAGTCCAGATGCTGAGGACAGCACAGAGGAGCTGGACCAGCAGGGGGCGCCAGAGACCAAAGGATCAGCTGAGAAACAGCCTCAGGAGCCCAGCAAGGTACCACCGCTACAAATCACTTCCTGTTAACAACCTGATCACCTGGAAGCAGTTAGACCTTTAGCTCCGCCCCCTGGACCTTCATCCAACCATGAAGGGTTTTAGACCAAAGACGGAACCCTTCATGGTTGGATGAACATGAATGAGAATATTTTCAGAATAAAAGCTTTAGTGCTGTACGAGCTAATTAGCATGTGGCTAACAGCGGCTCCACCCACTTCCTGTCTCCTTCAGGTGGAGAACACAGACGATGACGACTGCCACAGCAACAAGAGCCTGGACCTAAACTTTGGCAAGAAGCTCATCGACTTCAAGCTGTCTGCGTCCTCGTCAGGCTCCGCCCCTCAAGAAGAGCAACCCGCCTCCTCCTCCTCAGCGGCCGCCTCCTCCTCGGCTCCTCAGGAGTCAYCGGAGAGCTCGGAGGAGAAGCCGTCCTCCTCCGGCAGCAGCCCTGCGCCGTACAAACATGTCTGCCARGTCTGCAAGAAGAGCTTCCGCTACGCCACGACGCTGGCTCGCCACAAGAAGGCACACCTGCCTGAGGAGGCTCCGCCCACAACCGATGAGGCTTCACCAGAGAAGAAGGAGGAAGAGGAGGAGGAGGAGGAGAGCAGAGCTGCTGAGGAGGCGAAGGAGGAGGTGGAGGAGGCGGAGGCGGAGGAAACCAACGGAGCGGAGAGCGAAGGAGGAGAGCGAGGAGAGTCTGAGGAGGAGGAGAAGGAGGAGAGGAGCGATGAGGAGGCGTCAGAACCAAAGAGTGTGGAGGGAGGAGGAGGAGGAGCAGGAGGAGCAGGAGCAGGAGCAGGAGGAAGAGTGGACAAGAGGAAGAAGATCTGCAACGAGTGCGGGAAAAGATTCTGGTCCCTGCAGGACCTGACCAGACACCTGAGGTCCCACACAGGTGAGACACACACACACACACACACACACACACACACACACACACACCTGAGTCCCCAGGTGTGCCTGCAGCTGATGTAAACAGTCTCTTGTCCCCCCCCCCCAGGAGAGAGACCGTACCAGTGTCAGACCTGTGAGCGGACCTTCACCCTGAAGCACAGTCTGGTCCGGCACCAGCGGATCCACCTGAGACCCCGCGGGGCCGACGGGTCCTCCGGAGCGAACGACGACGCCAGTGAGGACGGCGACTCGCCCACGCCCACCTCCACCTGCCCCCCCTCGGAGAACGAGAGCGAGTGTGGGAGCACCGGTGCCAAGGAGCTAGAGGAGGAGGAGGAGGGCGAGGGTGGGCYGGACCATCCGGACAGCGCTACCAAACGAACCGACTCGGCCCCGCCCACCTCTTCAGAAGAAGGGGGTGGGGCTTCTTCAGCACAGGAAGCTTCACCTGACTTCACTCAGCGAGCTACTGAATCAAAGACCGAGTCCTCCAAAGACCCCTCACCCCCCGCTGCAGAGGGCTTCATCCAGGGGCTGCTGGAGATCCACACCAAGCCCCCCCTGGAGCACCTCCTGCCCCCCACAGAGCCCCCCCTGGTGGGGGTGGAGTGAGGTGCCACAGTGCCAATGGACAGACTGGTTTCCTTGAAGTGCCTTACTACTAGTTCCACCCCCTCCAGGGTTCCCCTCACTTTTTATTACCTGTACCTGTTAAATACCCCAAATACCCCCCACTCCGCATCTTTATCATCTGTACCTGCAGAATAGCCCCGCCCCCCTCAGTTTCTATCATCTGTACCTGCAGAATAGCCCTGCCCCCCTCAGTTTCTATCATCTGTACCTGCAGAATAGCCCCGCCCCCCTCAGTTTC